AGGGGGCAGTGTCAACCTAGAGTTCCTCCATCCCACTCCTTACCTTTCCTCATCCTACCTTTCTCAAATCTGAGGGGCAGTGTGACCCCAGGGTCCCTCCTTCCAAACCCTTATCTTTCCTCATCCTACCTTTCCAATATTTGGAGGCAGTGTGACCCTAGGGTCCCTCCTTCCCACCCTTACCTTTCCTCATCCTACCTTTCCCAAATCTGGGGGCAGTGTCATCCCAGCTTCCCTCCCCTTACCTTTCCCCATTCCTAGTTTTACCAAATCTAGGGGCAGTGTCATCCCAGGGTCCTTCCTTCCCTCATCCTATTTTTCTCAAATCTGGGGAGTGTCACCCCAGGGTCCCTCCTCACCTCTCATCTTTCCGCATCCTACCTTTCCAAATCTGGGGGCAGTGTCACTCCAGGGCCCCTCCTTCCCACCCCTTACCTTTCCTCATCCTACCTTTCTTAATTTGGGGGCAGTGTCACCCCACGATCCCTCCTTTCCGCCCTCATCCTCTCATTTAAATGAATGAAGAAATTTGGAGTAGGATAGAATTTGATTTATTTTTGAAAATTAAGGTGTTTCCCATTATGTACAGTTTAAGCCTAGGTTTTCTCAAACCTGTGGGTATACAACTTTTTGCGCCCCCACTCCATCACATGACCTCCATTCCTAGCAGTCCTACAGTAATCTAGGTCCTCTGTGCATGTGCAGTCACTTGTATTGAGATTTACCACCTGGTTGCATGCAAAGATGTCAAACTGGAGAACAGTTGATAGGGCGATAAGGAAATGAGATGCAATGTAACAGAAACATGGAGTGGCTACACTGTTTAGGTGTGTGGCTTAAAACAGGGCTTACAAATGCACACTCTTAAAAGGAGATGTTGGGCAGGCATAGAAAGTTGTGTAATGCATTTAAAAATAAGAGCAGATACCAAGAAGTGTTAGTGTCAGCCCATGCAGACTGAATAACAGATATTGAGAATCACACCAGCATAAAGAAGATACTAAGTGGCACAGTGTAAACACCAAGAATAAAAGCACAACATTAACAATATATAGAGCGGATATCCTCAAAAGTCCCTGCTGCTAAGTTGATTAATCAATGTAAAAAAAACAACAAATAGCTGGTGGGACTTTATATTCAACAATCGCAGCAGAAAAGTATGCATCAAGTATTAAAACATGTAATTCTGCTTTATTAATACAATTGAAGCTAAAAGGCGTGCCCAAATGTCATAAAAACATCCATTATAAAGATAAGTTGTGATACATTGCCACAGAACTGCTAATTATTTGTACAAATACCATATGAGGTAATAATTTTTGCACATCAATTCTCTTATGGTCTATGCGTTTTGTGGCAAAAATTTCTTCTTTGGGATCATGTGCTTGTATTGAAAGCGAAATATCTGTTAAAAATCCTACAAACTGCATTACAGGCATATTAATTGAAAACATAGTTCCTTCACCTATCATTGTTGTATTTTGGGTCATCATTGCATATAATCTATTAAACATTTTAAAATCCTAATACAAAATAATCTTCTACATACAGGATTAAAGCAATATAAACAGTCAAAATGCATGATAGTATACTCATATTTAAAAATGTCCACCCTCATCCATTATGCCAGTAATACTTAATCCCCACAGTAGCAGTTAGGACAGGTCGGATGAACTCTCTGGAGAAAGATTAAAAGAAGCCAGCCAAAAATTAGGGCAGCGCAAGTCCTCCCATTAGGAAGCAAGGAGAAAGACAGGCAAAGAAAAGTTGGACTCAACCATCAAAGAGCCCTCCGCTGCAGCAGCAGCAGTACTCGGCCTAAGGCTGGATGTCCAGTGGACTTCCACAAGGCACTGCAGCTCTGCCTACCTCCTGCAAATCCCTTTTAAATCTTTTCCACCCTCAACTTCTGGGCTTGTCATACCTGACTTCCAGTGATGTCATTTTCTGTGTTGGCGCACCCGAGGATGTCACTTCTGGGTTAGAATGCAAAGAACGGCAAACACTCAGGAAAGAGTCATCACCATGAATACAAGGCATTCTCTGATTGCATGAGGGTAGGTGACATCACAATATGCCTCGCACTTAATCAGAGAACGCCTTGTATTTATTGAGAAAAACACTTCGGGGGGAGGGGGGTGGGATTCATCAAAACTGGAGCAGACAAAATGTGAAGCAGTTGCCCATGGCAAGCAATCAGCTTTTCTGTTCAGTTCAGGTAGGCTTTGAAAATAAAAAAGAGAAGCTGATTGGTTGCCATGGGCAATTGCTTCAAATTCTGTCTGCTACAGTTTTAATAAATTCCCCCCTATGTGTTTTCTGCATGGTCAAAGTGCCAAGTGAGTGACCACCTGTGTTTTCAGAGCAGAGGGGAAGTCACCAATCAGCGCCAGACAGGACCTGGAAGATCACTATAAAACACTGTAGTAGCTCTGGCTAATACGGTGCTTTACAGGATCCCTGTGGGCCGATCAGGTACATCATTATATCATATAATTATTACTGACACATTTTATATGTCAATAATATACGAATTCACTGGTTATTATGCATCATATTGTTGACATTCTGATCCCAGCATTGCCCATAGATCACATCAGACTCTTTTTTTTTTCTTTCATTATTTGTATGTATATATATCTATAAATATACTGTGTAAAAAAATTAAAAAGGAGAATCTGAGTAGTTATAATGGAAAAAAGGTCAGTTGTTCATCTACACACTTATATACAGTAAATCCTAGGTCCTACTATTGTGTCTACACTGACAATAACGTGGGAACAACAGTAAGGTTGTAGGTGTGGGAGGCACATAAACTTACTTGGGGCGACAACTGGTCATAGGCTGAGAATCAGGTCTGGTTGAAAGAATCTTTCCCCTAAAGATAAGGTGATCCCAGACACCAGGGCTGCCACTCATTCATCTAATGATTCTAAATATTGGCAAAAAATAAAAGAATATGATGTTTTTCTTGCTTTCTAATGTGTGTTTATTCTCTAATTCCAGGATGGAAGTGAAAACTCGAAGTATATTATAACATGGCTGCTTGTGGGTTCATTGCTCAGTGTACAATTTATTCAGATTCATGGACAGGAAGGTACTGGAGACCATTCAGGTAATTCATTATAATGTCATTTTTAAAAACCAAAACATAGTTATCCAAAATGATTTAGCCATACATTTTATTTAAAGAAGAGCATGTTTTGGGGGAAAAAGGCTTTTTTTTTTTTTTTTTAATAGCATCGTCATGTCGCCTAATAATGGTTAAAAGAGAACTAAAGCCAAACCTTTTTTGGGGGATTTTTTTGTCCTTTTGGTCACAGGAGTAGATTTACTAATGTACTCCTGTGACCCAGAGTCAGCATATAGTGGTGTACTGCCTGCTATATGCTGACAGCACAGAGCCACGCTGTAGCTGGGAAGGATTCCAACAATATTGTTAGGATCCAACCCGCTGCCTGATTGACAGCTGGCTCTACCTCTCTAGTGCCAAAGCAAACATAATTTTTTATAATTATGTTCTTATTTTCAAATAATTTGTTTTTTATTATTTTTGGCCTTGTGGGGAATCCGGGCCATGAAATAATGAAATTCCATGCAGCCATCACTTGAGTGCATGCATGTAGACAGGGAATGCCTGCTTGCTGTTTGCAGGACATAAGCAACAAAAAATGAAAATGTGAAAAGTATTTTGAAAAAATATCGCAGTTGCTTGAAATACACAGTCATTTAGCAAACTGAATGTCATCAATCTAGGGTTTACATGTATTTTAAGGTCAAAATGTTCAATGTCATGGTTGAAAGACTGCTTTAGTTCAATAGGAGTGTTTATCTTTTCATATTGCTCACTACCATTAAAAAATTCTATACATCTGCATTAGACGTGTATTTTGGTAACTCGTCCATGGTATGAGAAGTCTTCTGACCTGTCTTGCAGAGTGACACTTGTCTGTATTTTGAACACATTTAAAAGAATGCTCCTGTGTTTTTCGCTCTACAGGACATCTGTAACATGACATAAGGGAAATTAACTTAAGTTAAAAGTCAATTAAAGTAATTGCAGCAGTCATAGGTTGTTTTGAGTAAAAGTAATGACCGGACCACTCAGTAAAATCATTGGTGATTGACATTATGCAACATTTCTTTCTTGATGTATTTTTGTACCTATGTTTTAATACCAACAAAGAGAAAATTGTATCTTTGATATACTGTAAAATTATTAAAAGGTCATCACTGCATATGGTAGAATGTGTTTTCCATGAATGTGCCTTCCTCAACCTTCTAATGTATTCTTCACAAAAGTATATAAAGGTTGCAGATGGCAGTAACAACAACGAAAGTGACTAGAATCTAATCAGCTTGTATGGCTGTGTTTTGTTCCAGTTGAGGATTCCTGGCAACAGGGAATACCCAATTGGGGATCTTACTTGTGATTTACATTGTTTTTGTTTCTAAAGTGTGTAGTGGAGACCAGCTGAACAGGGGGGCCCTCTTATCGGACACCCCTGGAAGTGGAACAGTGAGGAAACAGAATGGCACAAGTGCCAGTGTTTGCAGGCTGGACCTGCATAGAGGTTGGGGTGCATGGACCAGACCACTGGAGGCTGCTGGGGCCCTTGGGTCACACAATAAGTGCAAGAGGGCCACATGCAGCCCTGGGGCTGCAGGTTGAACACCAGGAGTGTAGGATTTGTAGATTAAATAATTTCAAACACACACGAGAGGCAGAAGTGTTTATTATTGCTCCTGTGATTTTCAATATCTCATTGATATACACTCACATATTCACTTTTCTAGAGAGAAATGGAGTGTTTATGTCTTTGTTTGTGGGTCAAAGCCAAACATTGCTCAAGAGAAGGGAGGCTGTGGCATTTGTATCTGCTTAACAATGTTTGCCACATCTTGGCCAGGTCTTAGACTGTTGTCATTCTTGGTCAGAGACCCTGCATAGACAAACCCAAAGGAAAATCCAGTGATCCAGTGGTTTTGTGTGTCCTGTACACTCTGCAGTGTTTTCTGAAGCTTATCAACCCTACACTGGTTACTTCTGCGAACTACAGAACACCACCTCCCTATGTTATGGAGATGAGGAGAAGGTAATGTGTCTTGTAGCCTTAACACACTGTCCTAAGGTGACAACACTGCTTTGACTTAGATACAGCATTGTGAGTGAGCTTTGTCTCCCTAGGACACGTAGTGCATTACTTGCTCGCTCCGCCCATTTGACATTTCTCAGCTGTCAAATACCACATAGCATTAGGGAGCTCCCGAATGCCATTCGGGTCTGTGAGCTGAGGTGTCATATGAAAAGTATTATGACACCTCTGCTCACAGACCGGAATGGCATTCGGAAGCTCACGAATAGCATTCAGGAGCTCCCGAGTGCTATGTGGTATACTATTTGACAGCTGACAATGTCAAATAGGTGGAGTGAGTGCCGTGATGTCAGGGCTCACTCCGCCTATCTGTTTACTTTCGGGCAGGAGAAGTCATTTTGCGGCGAGTTTTCGTTGGGTTCGGATGGTCGTCGTGCAGCGGGACTTTTTTTTATGCCAGCAGGCGTTGTGCATCGCAATGGACGCTGGATTACACCGATGGAGCCATTTTTATTGTTTTAATTAAAGGAATAGTCAAAAATTGACTTTGTTATTTTTTTTTCAATTATGGGATTTTTTTCTAAAAGTGTGGTTTATTTACTTTGACTTTTAACCCTTTAGTGAATGAGTAGGGGTACAAGTACCTCTTACTCATTCACAAGGGGGGGCGGCATATGGGTGCCCCCTTAATTAAAGGGGTACCCTGATGCAAATAAGCCCCCCTGCCCACAGACCCCCACAACCACCCGGTCAGGGTTGTGGGGAATAGGCCCTTGTCCCCATCAGCATGGGGACACGCCCCCATGCCGAGGGCACGTAGCCTTGTAAGGCGCAGGGGGCAGGGGGGCGCTCGATCGTGCCTGCCCTTTCCTGCCCTGCCGGGTCTGTGCTTGGATCAAGGGTCGGGTAGGAATGTTAGCGGGGACCCCACATTTCCCCCCCCCATTTTGGGAGGGCTGGGGTTCCCCCTTAAAATTCCTACCAGACCTAAAGGGCCTGGGAGGGATTTTGGGGGGAACCCCACACATTTTTTTTTAAACTGGGGATGGGGTCTCTCCTAACATTCCTACCAGACCTGAAGGGTCTAATTGGGTGGGAACCTCACACTTCTTTTTTTTTTTCTCTTCTGCAGACTGTAAAAAAAAAAAGTTTGTTTTTTTCCCTCTCAAATGTCACTTTGCAGCAATGAAAATCCGTACAGACTACCGCTAACGAATTTCATCCGAATCTGAATCCCGAAACGAATTGACTTTTGGACCCGAAACCCGAAAAACGAAATAACGCAAAACCCAAATGAAAACGAAACGAAACTACAGTAAACAAATTTTTTTGCCGGTGCACATGTCTAGTACTCATTTCCTAAATTGCCTGAACTTTTTCTAATTTGTCCTCATTTGTACATTCTCTACATCCGATGCATTTAATCTTCAGATACAAAAGAGCTTTTCCCACCATTATAATATGTTATGATGGCCCCTATGTTCAGTGGCCTAATGATGGATTTATTATGTATGATTTTACTGTTCATATTCACTGGCTTTATAAATGTCATAATTTTACCAACCTGTGAACGAATTGTATTTTTCTTTTCCTTAGACATGTAGAAATCAGTAAAAAGTAATACAAAAAATTTGAGCATGATAAAAAATATATAAAATACTTCTTTGATTCTAAACCTTTTGTAGATGAATATGTTATCATTCATCTGACCAGTCCTTCATCTGCTGTTTTCTGTCCTCTACCACTAGGTGACAATTACTCACAGGAAGAGATATATTCAGAAGAATATGAAAGAGGTCCTTACAATGGATACCCTTCAGGAGATGACTATTTGATTACTGCAACAGATGTTCCATCTAATGAAGTTACATTTTCTGGCTACTACCCAGATACTCAGCTTGTAACAGAAGAATCAGATCCTTATCCTTCTCCGACAGAGTCATATTTTGCAGCAAGAGATGTTACTACAATTACAACAAGGCTTCCATACTACCGCCAGACTACACCAAGCCCAAATGAAGATATTCTATCAGCACCTGATGTTTCCTTCCAGGATGAAGGTATCTATACTCATTTTTTATTTTATCAGTTGCCAAAATGTTATTTACTTTAGGATACAATTTTTCTCTCATCATTCTAAATGAACAAGATCATAGTTTACCTCGATATGCGCAATCTGAGGACACCTCTCCCCCTAGTAAGTACATAGAACCCAGAGGAATTTTGGGGTTTAATGAGGTGTCATATCCATTGCATTAGTAAAATCAAGAACATTCATTTATTTAGACATATAAATACATAAATAAGATAAAAATGATCATCCAAAACATAAATTCCGCAATGTCTTTGTTACATGCCCTACCAATAGATATGCAAAGATACCAGAAAGGACATTAATAAGGTGTCCATGTTGATTATGCAAGATCAGTGTTGATGCCAAATTTGTGATCCTTTCAGGATGGCTTGCATATTCGGTGTTGGTCCCGGTCGGTCTCATAATTCTAAATTGATTTTAACAAGACAATAATTCATTTGAATTGCATAAAATAGATTGCTTTAGCAATTGGCATGTCAAGAACAGCCATTTTGTTTGGGTAATGGCCATAAACACAGAATAATTAACTTTGTGAGTTTTATAAACCATTTATTATTATTATTATTATTACATAGGATTTATATAGCGCCAACAGTTTGCGCAGCGCTTTACAATATAAGGAAGACATTACAATAACAATACAATTCAAGACAAGATGGTAAGGAGGGCCCTGCCCCTGAGGGCTTACAATCTAAAAAAGGGCTTACAATTTAAAAAAATACACAGTAAATAAGGTACTGGATTATAGGGATATCCTGTATAGGCAATTTTACTAAATACATACATTTCCCTGATAAACAGCCCAGTGTTCTAAAATATAGCTTATGATAATTATTTGAGACCCTCACTGCACAGCGTGTCCTAGTGGCATTAATAAAGCACTTCTGGCTATTACAAGTACTCATCATTGATGCTTAGGGTCTACTGTGAAATGCAATTCTCACCCAGTTTTTGCAGACTACACTCCACAAAACTAACATGGCTATTTACAAAAGGGGGAAGAGTTTGGAGAAGGAAGGAGAAGTGAACAATCTAGGACAACATAGCTGAACTGGAAAAAATCTCCAATTCTGCTCACTTTCCAGTTCAGCTATGTTGTCCTAGATTGTTCACTTCTCCTGCCTCCTACAAACTTTACCGTTTAGTGATTTTACCCTGTAAGTTCATATGGATAAGCATCAGAAGTGCTCATTATTATATGTGGTGGTTTCCCAACTTCTTGGAAAAGAATGAAGTGTTAACTGCATGAGTGCTACTGTTTTGTGTTGGAGCATGTTCAAGAACAGGCAGATGTCCCATGCTAATAACTGTGTATGGCCGTCTTTGCTGGATTTTTTGTAGCAACAAACTTGATAGAAGAGTTTCGTGTGGGCAGCATATCTGGAGTCCGGATAGTAACAGGAACACAAAACAATCTGAAGGCATATCAGCTTGGGACAAGAGCACATGTAACAAGGCAATCCAGGTATTTTATTAAGATAGTATATCATTAGCTTTTTCACTCTCACTATGAGGAAATGTTGTGAACACCAAGGTTGTCATTTTATAAACATTTAGTGCTTTACATTACAAGTATCCATTGACTGTATGCTGCTTAATCGTTAGAAGCATGAGACAGCTATCCCATTTAATTATTTCAAATATAAAGCAGAGTAATTTAACACCAGAAGGTTAGAATTGTGCAGAAGAATTTATAGCACAGTTACTAATATATTGATCTTCCAATGGTGCACAGTGACTTGTTATGTTTAAAAGGAAACCAGTTGTCGCTGGCATTATGCAAAAATCTGTGCTGTCTTACATTGTCTCCCAAACCCTTAGAATGCATAAATGCCAAATGACAGAGCAGAATTCAAAAAGAAAAAAATGCTGCATGCCAAATTAAGCTAGAAAGCTCATTTTATTGGCATTTATGGCATACATGTTCTACACTAACCCCTACCTGCGATTCTCTCTCTGACACATTTTACACAAAACTGGGACTTAATTGTAGAGCTAGCGGAAACAGGAAGAGGCAAGAATATGTATACATTGATTCTAGGGATTTACTGAGCTGCTCTTGCACCTTCTGTTCCAAACTTCAAACTAACAAATCAAGTCTGTATGAATGCAGTGGACCAATAATTAATATTTTATCATTATTGTTTGATTGCATTCACTTGGATTTCATTTCTTAGTTTTAGGTTTTGCACTGTCGTTGCAAGAACTGCTTAGCCCTAGTTGTGGGCGAAACACGTCTCAAAGAGAGAGGATCCCAGGTGGTGATTAGTGTAGACCAGGGGTGCCCACAATTTTTGTGTTAAGATCTACTTTTCAAATGGCAAGCTACATGAGATCTACAAAAAAAAAACTCCCTCGCTCTCCTGGCTGTCTATCCTGCCTGTCTCTCCTTGCTCTCTCTCCTGGCTGTCTCTTGTTGCTCTCTCTCCTGGCTGTCATTTTTTGTTTCCTGTCCTAGCTATCTCTCTTTGCTCTCTTGGCTGTCTCTCCTTGCTCTCTCTTTCCTGGCTGTTTCTCCTCTCTCTCTCCCCTGGCTGTCTTTCCTCTCTCTCCTGTCTGTCTCTCCCCGCTCTCTCCTGGCTCACCTTGCTGTACTTTGCAAACAGTGTAGTGCAACAGGTTGTGTAAAACTAATATTCTTTGATGTAATACATAGCACTTCAACCACCAGTATCCACCAGAAAAGCTGTCAGGGAGCTGGGCTCAGCAGACTCAGGCTAATAGGTAACTACAAGACAAGACACAGAGAGCGCCTCCATCGCATTAAAACTTTTTAATAAACGAATAAAAAATGGTATAAAGGTACTCACAAAGGACGAATAAAAACAGGCATAAAAGGGTCAGAACGAAAGGTGCATATCCACCGGCTGTTCGTCTTCCCTGGTAGTGAAGTGGTTTACGCGTTTCAGAGGTCACGCCTCCTTCCTCAGAACCAATTGGTTCTGAGGAAGGAGGCGTGACCTCTGAAACGCGTAAACCACTTCACTACCAGGGAAGACGAACAGCCGGTGGATATGCACCCTTTTATGCCTGTTTTTATTCGTCCTTTGTGAGTACCTTTATACCATTTTTTATTCGTTTATTAAAAAGATTTTATGCGATGGAGGCGCTCTCTGTGTCTTGTCTTGCAGTGCTGAGGTTGTTCTGAACCTGGTGAGAGCCGCCCTGTCATCACCCTGCACTCCTGAACATCATTGATTAATACTCTCTTGAACCGAAATCTGCTGGCGCGGTGTTTGATTTTGTCTGCTAATAGGTAACTATGTGTGCACAGCTAAATAAATATACCAAAATGGAATAAAGGGGCCACCATTCACACCCTTCGTGATCTACCAGCAGCAGCTTTGAGAGCTAATGGTAGATCTACACCCCTGGTGTAGACCATTTATGCCAACAAAATGGACTTTTAGGATTAATTTGTCTTGCATCATTTTCTGCTTTTGAATTCTGGATTCTGAGTGGAGATTATCATAGGAGTTGTGCCGGCATCCACTGTGGGGAGCTTGATCTAAAGCAAATAACACTAGTTTTTTACATTCATGTTCACTATACAACTCTGGTATTTCATAGTACTGTGCATTATCATGTTTTGGGAGACAGCATGTGAAGTCAGGCAGATTCCGAAGTAGTAATCAGGTAAACTCTGACTGAGGAAATATACATCTATCATAAGCAAACTTGCACCTATATAATAATTTAAGTTTCTAGACATAACACTGGTTTCTAAGTACCTTACGATTGTGCTTGTTTCATTCCATTTCAGGTTGTTATTCCCATATGGAGTGCCGCAGGAGTTCACCCTGACCTCCACCTTCAGATTAAAGGAGAGGACATCTGAAGATGTGTGGAACCTGTTGGATCTGGAGTCCAGGAATGGGGTTGAGCAGTTTAGGCTTCGTTTGTATGGGGAAATGAATGCAGTAGATGTATACAATGCAGCTGCAGCTAGTCGGGATAAGGTAACGACATTTGAGAACGTGGGGAAGCTGTTTGATGGCAAATGGCACAAGCTGTCTCTGAGTGTTCGAAGAGATCAGGTCACTCTGTATGTGGACTGCCAGCAAGTTGGATCTTCTCCTGTGAACCTGTATGGTTCTCTAAAAACAGATGGAATCAGCACCCTAGCTCGCAGGATTAAAGATGGTGTCACAGCTAATGTAAGTTGATATATTTATAATCTCTTACACTCTTTAGTCAACTGAAGATATGCTAAAGAGAACTGATTATCAAGATATAAGATACCACCTCACATACATACTGGAACAGTATACATTTTAATTGTATCTCCAATATCTAGACTTTGATATTGTGAAGAAATCTAGAAATATATACTGTTTATAGTTTAGTGTTCATCCTTTATCAAATCTTCATGACAGTAATCATTGTTGGGCACTCCTTAGTGTATATGCATTTTGATATGTGTTTGAACATTGCGTTAAGTTTTTTTTCCAAACTTTATTTTAAGTTTTCAATTATGAGAATTACACCCAAGGAATACAAAAACAATACATTACATTACAAGAAAAGGGAACAATGTGGGAAGGCTTTTTGTTCAATATAGCAGTACCGTCATTTACCTGTATACATTGGGAAAGATGAGTGGGCAGTATCATCCCGTATCAAACCTTTTGTGTCAAACCATAAACGGATACCTGGTGTGATATCTTATACTGTTATCCGGTTCGGGTATTGCACCAGTTGAGCCATATCTACGAGAGGCTCAATACCACCCAGACCCTGCCCTGTTGGGCCAAGAGGGATAGATACAAAACTGACGGGGGAAAGTAGGAATAAGTCTGCGTTGAGTTTTTAAAGTCTTTTCTATCACATTATTTCAACTGCAGTTTCCTAAGCCAAGCACTACTTGGCTTGGCATAGCTGTCATAAGGTCCAGGCCTTCACCCAGCATTTTGCATTCTAAAATTAAAGTTAAGGAAATGATGGGTGAAGAACAAACTCTTATGAGATCTGCCCTTTGACCTTGCAGCTGCCACTTCTGGCCTTGCTGCCTTGATCTATTGAGTGCTCCTGATAGGAATGATACATAGACAATAGACATAGACAATAAATTATATACTTTATATTAGACATTTTCCATTTTTCTTGAAGACGTAAGACTAAGAAAATTTGCAACAAGATTTCAACTGACAACGTTTCTGTTATGGTTTTCTGGTGTAGGTTGACATACAGCAACTTGAACTTTCAGCAGATGCAGGAAGGGCCAAGGAAACTTTATGCTGTGAAATGGCTGACGTGGTGAGTATGATGGAGATCCTGTACAATATGTATTCAGATGATAATTGAAAAGACATATCTAGCTAAAGGTTGGACTGTTGGCTCTGACCTTCCCATATAATGTTATTGCGTAGTGAATTCAGGATTCACCCTCAGTACAGCCTAGTATGAAGCCTCAACAATTTAGATTAGTAATGCTTAATGAATACAGTCATAGCTGAAAGTAAGGCACAGGTAATGATCAAAAGTGCAGATCAAAGTTTAAACTAGACTGGAAATCCTTAAGGTTATGTTTAATAGTTTTAATAAATTAATATTAAAGACAGAATGTTAGATGGCATCCACATTTATACTTGCAAAGTTTCAGGAAAATGAGGAGATAGATTGATTTCATTACAACGGTCTCCTATTTGTAGGAATATGATGTACAAAGAATGGTAATTGATACATTTTCATTCCCTCTGTTCCCTAATAAATGTAAACTTAACTTGCAAACATGTTTGCTTAGATATGGGTCTTTTAACATGTATTTAATACTTTTTCATAACCATGTACTAGAAAATGCATCCTCCTCAAAATGGTGATGCTACATAAGTTATAATATACAATTAACTCAGGTTTTGACTAAGGGCAACTAATGCCCTAAGCACAGCCCAACAATAACGCCCTTTTCATCACCTTCTTTGCTTAACTGACAAAATATTAAGACTCAATAAGTGCTGCAAGTGAAATTAAAATGTAAAAATGTATAAATCTTGAGTTTTGGTTTTTTTTTCTCCAGTTTTTCTTCAACGTCAGCCCCAGGATAGACCCCACAAATATATTAAATAAAAGGTTTTCATTTGATTTATTTAACAGATTGGGCATGAATCAAGATCAAGCAACTGACTGCGGCCTTTTATTTAGCAAAAAGGCAAAAAAGGATAAGTGCACTGTGTATAGAAGTGCACTTATCGTTTACGGGCTCAATAGCTAAGGCAAAAATACTGTGGTGTCCCCTCCCCTTGGAACCCTAAGCATGTGCTTATTTTGCTTAATCCAGCCCTGAATTAACAGAATAATTTATTACTGTTGAATAAAATGAATAAATGAATTTTTGTGTCTTAGGTCATTACTTTATTCAACACACAATACTGAAAATGTTAAGCTTTTAAAGATTGTTTTTAAGAAAGCTAAGTTGAAAATTTTAATTATTTATCTCTCTTTTTTTATGCAGAAAGATGACCGGGTAAGTAAGATAAATGCATGTTCAAAGCCTGGCAATCAATGATTACTATATGTACTATTTTAAGCACTATTTATTAATATTTGTTTTCCTTTTAAAAAAATAAATAAAAATAAAGTGTGCAGATTTGGGTGAAGACGCCGTAGCGATCAGTTGTAACTGTCTACCAGGAGAAGCAGGGTTCCCTGGATTTCCCGGTTCCAAGGTGAGAAAAGTTTGCCATACTGGAATATTCCTTTTTTCTTTTTTTAATATATTTTAGTGAAAAGAACATTAGCATATGGTAACCTGTGACAATCAATCACTATTTGCTCGGCAGATTTTTGACATCTGATTTCTGATTGGTGGCCACATTTCGTTAATTTTCCATTATATTATAAGTAAGCACATTCTTCAAACAGTTGAGGACCTAGGACACACCCTGCACACAGTTGCATGACTGCAGGGGGTGTCTTGACTATGTAACCCCTAAATTAACTCTCTTTATCCTTTACAAGCCCTTATTAACTCCACACTTCCTGTTTTCCTTAGCTTTTTTTAAATACTTTTCTTACAAAAAATGTTTAAAATGTTTTCATTTCTTTAAATTTTTTGGTTGCAATAACATGAAGAAATAAACAAAAACACAAATAAGCAGTCAATGTATTTGTAGCCATTTGTACCAGAAACATATTTTTTATGTCTTGATAAAAGACATAATAATAAATAGATGCTTAATAATGATACTAGTTATATCACTAATTAATCTGGGTAACACATAAAATTAAAGAATGAAATGCTACCAAAAATACTATTCTGTATCACAGCCAGAAAATGGAGGGGTGGGGTGGGGGAGCAGGTAACATAGTGAGAGCAGGGAGGATTAATGGGGACAGACACTGTAGTGAGGGAGCACATGCTGGCACGCTTGGTAAGAGTGGGGGCCTGGCAGAGTAGTGAGAGCAGAAGGGGAGACTCTGGCAGAAAATGCTAAACCCCTTTATTGCCTCCTGGTTGTTCCATCTGCATATGCATGGACTTGTCAATGATCACAACAAATATGTAGATGATAATCAGTGCATGTGCAGTTTTCTGCTGCCACCCATGTTGTCGTATACAGTATATACAGTATATGTACTGTATATCAGTTCAGTCTCATTTAATAGCAAAGTGTTGCATATATTATTAATCATCCCACGGAGAAGTATCATATTTACCCCGGAGCTTAATTGGTTGTGTTTAGTTGTTTAAGAAGAGCAGCTCAATGTGATTCAATACTTTTGCCTTATAGGGTGAAAAGGGTGTCCAAGGGCCACTAGGCTATACAGGAATCCTTGGCCGACAAGTAAGTGGAACAATGACAGACCATGAGAGATAACAAAGACCAACTATATAATTTTAAATGTGTTTATATGCTAAAGTGGTGCTGTTTAAAGGATAAATCGAGATCATTTTTTATCCCTCTACAGTTTTATTAGGTTTCTCAAATTCTGAGTGGCCTATGGAGGTGTGTATTATAGATCTGTGGGCATGGTTTTGTTTTGATACACCTGAAATGTATTTAAAACAGTTTTGTTATGTGGGGCTAAGGTGCCGGGATCTTGATTACTTGGGTTCACAGGTCTGCTGTGTAATATGTATTCTGTTAGAAAACAGTATTGTTTACTCTTTAATTATGTGATGTGATCCCTATCCTGTATATTTTTGCAGGGATCTAAAGGATCTAGAGGGGCAACAGGAAGAAGAGGTGATACGGGGCCTAGAGTACGTATGCTAAGTCCATTTTATTCTCAAAGTCACTTTTATGCAAAAAATTATGCTAAATGTTGGTCAATTATTTATTATTTCTAATATGAAACATTATACAGGGAAGTATCGTGTTTAATTGTTACTATGTTATTATTAACATTGTGCACACATCCTTACCTTGCACCCAGAGCACAAAACCTAAATATACAAAAGCTATGTGGTACAAAACTTAGAAAACACTATTTCACTGTATTAGGCATGGTAAACCAACTTACCTGTTGTCATGGAAACTGGATACCTTTGTGCTATCTGCATGTTGGAGAGGGTGTAAATGTTTAAAGGGCTGATGAACAGAAAACACGCAAAAAATTTGTTTTGTTTCATTTTGTATCCATTCGTATTTTGTTGTTTTTGTAATATTCAGATCCACTCGTTATTCTTATTTGGACACGTTTTGGACATTCGAATGGGGTTTAAAAAAAATCTAATTTAATTGAATTAATACCAGGCCACTTAGGTCTGGTTGAAATGTTAGGGGGGACTCCACAACAAAAAATAAAATCCCTTACCAGACCTTTGATCTGAGCAGCGGCCCGGCAGAGCAGGAAAGGGGGGGAACGAGCGTGTGCCCCCCTCTCGGCACCATACCAGGCCACTTGCCATCAACATGGGGCAGGGTCCTCATGTTGATGAGGACAAGGGCCTCTTCCCCACAACCCTGGCCCACTGGTTGTGGGGGTCTGCAGGCAGGGGGGCCTATAGAAATCTGAGTGCCCCCTTTGATAAAAGGGGCACCCAGATACCACCCCCCCAGGTGAATGAGTGATGGGTACATGTAAGCCTCACTCATTCACTAAATAAACATTCAATAGTAAAGAAACACAAAACATCGATCAATCACATGGTCCAGTGATATAAATCCTCCTGATCCTGGATGTCCAATATAAACAAAAAATCCCACCATCGACCGCATCTTTGTTTTTTCAGGAAGTGGGCAAGAAATAGACCCCACTTTTTTTTTTTGCTGCTTTGTGTCCCCCCTTTAAATTCCTACCAGACCTAAAGGGCCTGGTATGAATTGGGAGGGGGACCGCATGCTGTTTTTTTAATTTAACCATGAACAATAGTTAGAATGTCATGCAGATGCATCCAAATGTTTGTTACTGCAAAATTCAGATTCGTTTGCGTTCAGTATTTGTTTCTTTCAGAAATTCAGATGCTTCCGAATGTCCGAATTCACAAAAATGTGTCCGAATTTGCATTTGGCACAAAACTAAATTTACATGTCTAGTAAGCACACCTACCAGATCTTTACCAGAGAGCCCTGCAAGCAATAATGGGCTTTACTGATGGGTTTACCAGGTTCCAGGCCTAGTGCAGATGGCAGCTGACCAGGGACAGAGGCAAAGCATGATACACAGTCAAAAGACAATATCGGGAACGGGGACAGACAAAAGGTCTGGATGAGCAGTAAACAAGTTGATAATCAGAGAAACCAAAATGCAGGCACGCAGATTTAAGCTTTGAGCTAGAAAATAATGTCCATACATGTGCCTTTTAGATTGTAAGCCCTCAGGGGCAGGGCCCTCCTTACCATCTTGTCTTGAATTGTATTGTGATTGTAATGTCTGCCCTATATTGTAAAGCGCTGCACAAACTGTTGGCGCTATATAAATCCTGTATAATAATAATAATAATATTGTAGGTAGGTAAACATGTATAACCTATACCAAAAGTGTTGAGTGGAGGATAGAGCAGATAAGGATTTAGTGGCATGCTAATCCAACCTCTGTGTTTTACACTTTTTAATGAGCTGCCAGTTAAAAAGAAATTGATAATTTGGATATAATTGCCCCTAACATTAAGGAATAATAATTATAGTATCTGAATGCTTGCTAATAAACTGGATTTTCCTTTTAACCTTTCTTCTTTAGGGAGACCCAGGTTTTGATGGTGATGAAGGTGCCTCTGGCTATCCAGGAGAAATTGTAAGTGGAGCATTATCTGAATGTTCAATACAAATGATACTACTTGACAGTAAATAATACTACACTGCGTTGTGCAACCTTTTTTTAGACTGCAAAATATAATACCACTGTAGTTTGATGCATAACTTTTAGCAAGCAACTTGTGCTTCTTATTTATCATAATATCCGGCAGTCATGTGTGAGAATTAGGGAAGTGTAGATTATAATCAAAGTATGTTGTCAGCCAGGACTATTAAATGGTTCCTTTCTTTTTATATAATTTTGCTTATTTAGCTGTGGCTAGACAATGTATTCTATATTGTTTAAACATGTAGTTTAGTTTTTCTTAAATTAAAAATGATATAGACATTTTATGTGCACTGACCCAGTCTTGATGGCCATGATGCTACCATTGTTATAGACACGTTGACTTCATTAGGCCAGATTTAGTCAGATTTAGTTCTGACCTGCTGATCATTTTAACCTGTCATAAAAATTTTAACTGACTGAAGTCCTGCGGTGAGATGTATGGATCCCTAGTATTCTGTGAACACCCAGAAAGTCAGGTCTGGGGGCAGGTGTATCCCATTATCAGTATATCTATAAGAAATTAAGTTATACAAAAATCAAATGCTGTTAATTAGTGGGGGTGTTAGATGTAAAACAGGGAATACGTGTCAGTATTCAAACTTATATACTGACTGACCAGTCAAATATTCTTCTAAAAAAATAACACTAAAAGAAATAAAAAGTTTGTCAACAAGAAAGTAGAAAACATCTCCACTTTTCTAGGCCCCAATGTTGACTGACAAAGTTATATTTCTTCAGAACCTGCTGGGCTCAATTATTTGCAGCTTCTAGTCTGGGGCTGTGGCCATTGGCTATAGTTAGCATGATGCAGTTTCAGGTCAGAAAAATGTTGCTTGTAATGGATTTCTATGACACAGCTGCATCAATATGAAACTGCTTTGAGTAATTTAACAGCAACCTAAGAACAGTGGATCAACTAAGAATTAGATGTCAAGATCCCCAATAGTCCACAACATGGGCAAGTGCATCTTTTTTACTTTTCCTTTTTCCAGGTTTCAGGTCTTCCCTTTGAAACAAAAAGTGCATGGTAGTGCATTCAAAACTTCAGTACTAGGCATATACAGTATGTGGACAGTGGCCCATACCTAATAAGAAATATACAGCAATGTTCATTAAATTGCAAAGCAGCAGGACTTGGTTTTGTGTTAAACTCTTTTCTAGTCCCTGAATGAAAAAAACAGAAAAAGCGCCGGAGGTGACCACTCCACTAAAAGGGTTCACATATGTGGGTGCTACACGTCGCTGCCCCACTTCAGCCCGGGAGACTGTGGTATCTGGGAAGATAACAAAAGACAGGGGGCGCCCACCCTAGTGTGGATCAATTTTATTGAAAATCTGCAAAGATAAAATAATACTCACAAGAGTAGATCACAAAAGAGCTTTCAAAATCCAAGGATTGATAAACCAGGAAATTATGAATGGGAGCTGCACAGACAGATCTATGTGACAGCTCAAATTGCCTACATCCTCATGATCCACACAAGGGTAGGCGCCCCCTGTCTTTTGTACTTTTCTAGTCCCTGTTCACACCTGTGATAAACACATAAAAATGCACTGAAACACGTGTCAAGGTGTAAACCTAGCCTTAATCTAACCTCACACTTTTTGCACAACTTCAGTGCAAGTTATGAAAATCATCCCTTGGGAATATGGCATATTGGGTTTGGCTTCAGTAAGGGGTAAAAAGGATTCAAATATCCCTTTTACAAATGTTCTGCAAAGGACAGAATTGCCTCTCCTCTCTGTAACATGGGCCAGCAGGAGAGAACTGGGCAGGACTGATAACGTTGCTTGGGATTTCAGTGCGGTATAGGAGCTCACTGGATTTCTGGCAGGATTAATAGGTAATTTTCTGTACTTGCAGCATTTAAAAAAAAAAACCTAAACATTTGGAAATATGAATATATTTGAGAGATGTACTGAATATGTTTTATATTGCCCTAACATACACTTTAAGGACAGTGACTGGAGCATGGTAAATCATATGCCCCAATAGCTAGCTGTGCATTCACCACCACTGGTATATAGCAGATACAGCCTGCGTAGTTATCTTGTACCCCAATCTGAAGAAACTGGTTTTCATACATTGCACTGAAGATAGTTGTACCTGGGCTATGAACTAGCAGATGTGGATGCACAGCTGGTCCCTGGGCATAAAGAACTGACCTGCATGGCTCTGCCCACTGCCCATTTTGCAGATTTGTGGCAACAGTGATGATATTAGATACATTCAGATAATTATGTTTATAATGTAACAGCACAACTGAACAACTGGTTCATCACTGACTTGCCCTACAATGCTACGCAAAACATACAGATTTCTACCTTGAATTACTTGTACTTTTACATAATGACTATTTTTATAATGTCACTCTTCATTTTTGCAGGTCTGCTTACATTCTGCCCCAGCTGTTTGTATGCACAGATTCAAAGTGTTTAAAAGCAAATTAGTATTTTATATTCAAACTTCGTAAAACATCAATATCTTGTACAATGGGTTTTCATACACCAAAACTGGCCAAAAATTGTCACTTAAAAATAATTTTAGTTTTGCTGATGTTCCCTTTCTAATTCTTTTTGAAGGGCTTTATCGGTATTCCTGGAGAAAAAGGAGTACAAGGCATACTAGGAACGAAGGTATGTGTGCAAAATGTTTGTATAAATTGTTAAAGGGCAATACCGATAAGTCAATAAAGGCAGAAATTACTAGGTCTAAATATGTAGACAGTAGATGGTTGGACGGATGGGTGATAGATGGATGGAAATGGACAGCGGTAATACCAAAGGTAAGATATTGAAAAGTGTCAAGGAGCTTTCTTCAAGCCTTACGAAAACACATGGCAAACAGAAGGCATTCGTATGACTTTACTATTCATTTTTCTGTACCCTTATAGTAAACACCAGTGGGGAACATTTTTAAAATCTTTACTGCATAGGAAGAAAAGGAATATTGAAGTAAATATTGAATTCTGACATTGCTTTACTCTTCTTATGACATTACTAGTTTCTTGGCTGCCATGCTGATCCAAAGGCTTGCATACTTTCTGAGCCACTGACCTAGAGCAAGTATATAGATAAGGAGTTCTGACTCTGACTTTACTTGTAGCATGTTTGTACCAGCTTTGTAACATATACGAATATCCTGCTGCACTTCTTACCGGACTTCCCAAATCAAGAAGGGTGCTTGAAATGACCACGGATGGCGCCGCTTGGATCAGAACTTGATTGTAATGTCACCTGCACACTGTAATGAAGTGAAGAAAAATGCCTATTTATTGATGCATATTGTCACTCATTGGGCACAACATTTCGGGGCCGCGCAGGGTCCCCTTCATCAGGCTAAAAATGACCTCAAAGTGTTGCAGTTAATGAGTGACAATATGCATCAATAAATAAGCATTTTTAATATAAAGCCAGGTATGCAGAATTGGATACAGCTGATCACATGTCCAGACTCCAGAACAGTGTATTATTGTATAGTGTGGCACAGCTCTATCCAATTCTGCATACCCTGTAAATCATCCAATCGGCCAATCAGCGGGAGAAGAGATCAGAATGGAGCAGATTACTAGGCTGTGACATCTGCTCCATTCTGACCTCTTTTCCCGCTGATTGGCCGATTGGATGATGACAGGTTTCCTCACCCATCACTCCTGACGGGTGAGGAACCCTGTAAATCATCCAATCGGCCAATCAGCGGGAGAAGAGGTCAGAATGGAGCAGATGACTGAATACTTGGAGGAGGAGTTCGCGGCCATCTTTTTCATTGAAGACTCGATGGAGGTCCTGTGTGCGGCGGATTCGGGTCCCTGAAGATGGCGGACGCGGCACAGGTACTCGTTTTTTGTATCGGAGTATTTGCACGAGTACGAGTACTCATGCAAATACTCGGTATCGCCGCCGATACCAATGCTTGTATCGGTGCATCCCTAAAAAAAAGGTTCCCCAGCAGGTTCTTAAAATAAGGATGAGGGGCTGAGCCCAGAGTTTGGCTTTACCACCTTGCTGTGTTATTCCTGTTCCCTACATAGTAATTACAAATTGATGTACTTGCCATTGATAACTGTACTAGATGCACCATCTACAAATGTTAAAATGTGGCCATTGACAGTGTCAGACTTAAGGTTCTTAATGAGAACTTTGTCCAACTCATAATGTTCTCCCTCTGATAAAGCAGCACTGAAGGTGAAAGCAATGTGTCTTCCTCTCCTATTTCCATAGTACAATTATGTACATTCACCTCATATGACCATATGTGTTTTTAAGAACCGGTTGCGCACACATAGACCATTGAAGGTGGTTGAACCATGCCTGCATGTATCGGCTGCCCTCTGGTGCCCTGTTTTCCTACATGAAGAACTTTGGTACTTATTGTGTGCCCCCCAGTAGTCTGACTCTGCAATGGTAGCACTGATTTGTAAAATGGGAAATAGCAGGATCTCTACTAGTCTCATGTACCATCTTCCTACTCTGTCGCTGTATTCTGCATCATTTCTCTATTCTCCAACTAAGCCTGTAATATGTTCATAGTACCGTATCTTATCAAAATTTTCTCTAGTATGTGTACAGTCTCTGACAGTCCTCCTATAGCATTACATATAATAAACATTCTGTGCGACTCTTTAGTGATGTCAGGAGCTGAAGCTGAGCCTCTCTATACCTATACCCATAGACACTGCTTTAGTGTCTATTGACTGAGAAAATCCCATTCATTCCAACTGAAAGGCAATATATTCTTGGGACCCATAATTTTTTGTCTGTGTCAAGTACTGCTTTTAAAAGCAGGGATAGATAGATTGAAAGATAGATAGATAGATAGATAGATTTGCTCCATTTACTAAAACTAATAGATGAAGTATAGTTTAGCAAACTAATAATAGAGTATAACCTCTCTCTAAATTTGCTCTAACTTCTACTCTACAGTGAACAAAGTAGCTCATTTGCACATAGTGCACAATGTTCTCTAACCCTTTCTGAGACTGAGGAAAGAATAGGAAACCAATGCTTTGCCCAGTTACATATCACTTTGGGCATTATGCAAAGAGATTGACAAATACACTCTTAAGGATCTTGTGTCCTTTTTAATTAGAGGTTAGGCATGCGAGCTGTCACCCTGCTCTATACTTTCTTCTGTTTTTCAACTTCTTATACATAGAAGGTAACCCATAGTATAGTGCTATTAGGAATAAAAGGCCTATATCAGCAGAAATGAGGAGAGCATGGCTGGACAAGTTGTTATCTTAAACCTATTAAAACTGGACTCCAAGTTTAGTGTGCAAAAAAGTTTGAAGATGATAGACAATTGTGTCTGTAGTTTTCAAAATGGACACAGTACAGTTTATTTCAATATTCCCTCTTGAAATATAAAGTAGGGTTGCACAGATACCAAGTACAGTACTTGGTACAAGTATGAGTACATGTACCGATACTTTTGAGCTCCAAGACTATACTGGAGAAAAATGTAAAAATTAGGAGGCAGCTGTCATTTGTAAGGAGCACACAGAGCTTCTGGGATTTGTACATCTCTGTTTTAATGTACGATTTTGTTTTTATAAATATAAATAAAGGGATGCACAGATACCAGTTTTGCGAGTACGAGTACTGGTACTTGCTGAGTACTTACAAGTATGAGTACTGATACATTTTTGTTTATTGTCATGTGACAGTTTTTCTAAAACAATACAGACTAATGATTTCAGGACAGTGGTGGAGTGCCAGAGCCAGGTCCCAGCTGCACCTGCTGCAACCCTGGCAGTTCTCATGAAAATGCCAAGTATCTGCACTGGTACTTGAAAAGTATCTGTGTATCCCTAATATAAAGTATGATGATGTGTGGTTAAAGTGGAACCCACTTATCCTTTCAAACCAAGGAAAGTGCCATCTTAGCCTCTATTTGGATTGCAGTTGCCATTCTGCTGCACATGTGATGTGTATGACAACAACCATTTGAGGACATGAAAGTTTGGTTGAGAGCTAAAATAGGCACACTGGCAACCTTGACAGTTGGCATGCTTTGAAAGTAATTGTTTTGGGAGACTGATAAATTGGTGGGCAAATTTCCACATTTACCTTTTACAATATAAGTACAACACATAAAATATGGCAATTTAAGCCCATGATGTGATTAGACAAATGTCTTTTATCTTCAAAGCCAGGCCAAGCAGAGGCAGGAGAGATTCTCACATTAGGGGCTGTGGTGTAAGGGGCTCAGTTTGGGCAGAAGCCTCACCTGTCTGCATCACCCCAGCCATCTCCTGCAATGTGTAGGAGATTAATGTATTCATTTGTTTCCTTAATTCATAAAAAGAAGCAGCTTCTAAATCATGCAAATAATTTTCTTGTAATAAGAGCGGTATAGACTTAAAGAGAGAGACATAATCTTGCCCCTGTACAAAGCATTAGTCAGACCTTATCTGAAATATGTTGTTCAGTTTTTGGCACCAAAATAAAAATTATCTTGGGGAACTGGAGAGAGTGTGGAGAAGGGCAACCAAACTCATTAGAGGCATGGAGGACTCAGCTATGAGGAAAGATTAGCTGAACTTAATTTGTTTTCCCTTGAGAAGAGGTGTTTAAGAGGGCATATACACCTATCAGCCATAATATGACTACTAAGAGGTGAAGCGAATAACATTGATTATCTCGTTACAATGGCACCTGGAAATGGGTGGGATATATTAAGCAGCAAGTGAACATTTTGTCTCTGAAGTTGATGTGTTGGAAGCAGAAAAAATGGGCAAGGATATGAGCTACTTTGACAGTGGTCAAATTGTGATGGCTAGATGACTGTGTCAGAACAACTCAAAAACTGCAGCTCTTGTGGGATGTTCCCAGTCTGCAGTGATCAGGGCCTACCAAAAGTGGTTCAAGGCAGGAAAACCGGTGAACTGGCGACAGGGTAATGGGCAGCCAAGGCTTTTTGATGCACGTGGGGAGCAAAGGCTGGCCTGTGTTGTCCGATCCAATAAAAGAGCTACTGTAGCTCAAATTGCTGAAAAGTTTCATGCTGGTTCTGATAGAAAGGTGTCTGAACATACAGTGCATCACAGTTTGATGCGTATGGGGCTGCAAAGCCACAGACCAGTCAGGGTGCCCATGCTGACCTATCTCCACCAGCAAAAGTGTCTACAATCAGCATGTGAGCATCAGAACTGGACCACGGAGCAATGGAAGCAGGTGTCCTGGTCTGATAAATCATGTTTACTTTTACATCATGTGGATGGAGTGGATGTGTGTTTCTTACCTGGGGAAGAGATGGCACTAGGATGCATTATGGTAAGAAGCAAATTGAGGCAGTGTGATGGTTCAAGAATGGTTTTGAGAACATAACAATGAGTTCCAGCTGTTGACTTAGCCTCCAAATTCTCCAGATCTCAGTCCAATCGAGCATCTGTGGGATGTGCTGGAAAAAACAAGCCCTATCATTTCCCCAATTACAGCACTTAAAGGATCTACTACTGATGGGTAGGTGCCAGATACCACAGCATACCTCCTTAATTCTAGTGAAGTCAATGCCTCGACAGGTCAGGGCTGTTTTGGCAGCAAAAGTGGGATCTACTCAATATTAGGTGGGTGGTCATAATGTTATGGTTGATCAGTGTAATCACGATATATAGATACATAAACAGTCCATATAAATAACTGGGTGCAAAATTATTCACTTTAAGTTCATTGCAAGGGGGGCAGTCTGTGCATCTGGAGGAAAAGAGGCTTAATCTTTTTTACCCTCTTTGATTAAATTAGACCATGCTTTTTTACCTTCCCATGGATGAACTCTGGGGATATGGTTCTGTTTCTGGAGGCTTTCTATTAATTTATTTACCTTTTTTTCCTCTTATAGTTAAACGTCTGTCTTTGTTCAGCATGACAAACTTTGTAACTAGGCAATACACGCTGGCCACCGAGCCCCATAGATTACACAGTTCATGGACCTGCTGCCCTGTCCTCATGTTCCAGGGTGATTGGGTCATCCGCATATGTCAAACAGCCATTGCAGGTCTCTAGGCAGCCTTAGAAGTTCTCCGGGACTTGGAGACATGAAACACATTCCTTAAGTAATGTTTCTCAGCTCTGGTTCTCTCAAACTCTTAACAGTCCATGCTTTAGAGATATCTTGAAATTCTGGTTCTTTCAGAATATTACCAAAGAAAATAACTGCATTTTGACCTGGCTGCATGATAAACTTGCACTCTTAGTCTGTAACCTGGACTTACAATTAAGCATTTTCTCTGAATGTTTTTGTCCTACAGGGTGAACCTGGTCTTACAGGGCCACAAGGAGAATCTGGGGAGAAAGGGGATGAGGTGAGTAGTATGAAGAATAAAGGTTGCATTACATAAAAATATACTACAATCTTTATCAGCATGTTTTATAGAAGCATGAAGTTGTTTAAAAGACCATGTTATTGTATACGATGTGAACCATTTCTTTTAGCTGGTGTGGCTCTAGAAATGAGAACATGTTTTGCTCTCTCTGAAAAATAACATTGTTAACTTCAGTCTATCATAGCTGTACAATTATTTAAATGAGAGGAAAACTCCAATAAACAACATTGATCGAACAAATTAGAGCGATGAAGAGTAACACTGAAAAATGGAAAGAGATCTCATTTTAAACAAATACATTAAAACATGTGGATTGAACATTACTTGAAAAAGTATTGCTTGTAAACATAAATACAAGTAAAAACAGATTAGGTCTGATTCATTCATGTCTGAGACAGATTTGTCCTAAAGGAAGAATTGTATGGTAGTCCTGCTGCATAGTGGTTACTTCATATATAGCAGCGGACAATGTTGTGTAATGTTTACAGGGGCTTGGGAGTCTGTAATACTCTACCTGTGACTAAGAAAGGAGCCATAGATCTGAATCATGGACCATGAGCAGAAGAGGTTACAGGGTTTCTATTGCCTCCAAAAATCCATCACAACCACCATTACATCTCCAATCTCTTGAGATGATATCCAGGACATATTTACAATTTTTGCCTGTGTACTTGAATAATATTCATTTTATTTGTTCCTCTTTCAGGGTGGCATTGGCAAGATTGGTGCTAAGGGCATTGATGGACCTCGTGGTGAAAAGGTATTGACATACTATAATAATGCAACAACACATCGAGGCTTTTCTACCATTTTTTTCATTTGACACCCTTAATTTTGCATCAAATCTAAATTTGAAAATTTACTGTTGTGACCAGTTAAAATGTAAGATTAAAATAGTCTTGTTTAAGTAACTTGCAGAGCCAGCCCACTGAGTAACTCCTTCAGCTGAAAAGACATGATTTTCTATTGCTTGGTTCTAAAGACCATAAAAAAAATAGCAGCTGTGATCTTAGCTGTTATGTAAAGGTAGTGATCACAGCAGGCAGCAGGAGCATCAGTCACAGTACATACCAGCTGTTGATAGGCATCTTTGTGACAACAGCATTTGTGGTACTGAGCAGGGTGTGGGATCAGGCAGATGCAGAAAAGAACCCTATTCAAAATATATAGGGGTTCATTCACTAAAGACAAGTAGACTGTTAACATTGCTAGGAAATTTTCCCTCAGCTTAGTGAATGTGGGGAAATGCACTTTTCAAAGAATGCTCAATCAGGTGCAAGCAAAAATAAACAGTATTTTTGCTTGCACGTAATTGGATGATGGAAGTCAGCAGACCTTCTTCACCTCATTACATATTCCCTTGCAAAGTTATTAGCCGGTTTGCCTTCAGTGAATCAACACTATATAATTTGTGAACCAGACTGGGATAGACTTGCTCAAGAAGCCACAGTCCTTAGCACAGCCAATGTGTATTTGAATATAAAACCAAGGGCTTATTGAATATAATTTGTTACATTAGACAAATCAAAAAGGTACAGTATAATGAGTCAAACCAATGCAAACATTGCTTAGGTCCTAATGGAAGAAAACCTTCATTAAGAAAGGGGTTATTATATTATACCTCATTTATGTTTTGTAATTTTGGCAACCCTGGTGAACAACACTCTTAGTTGCACATACCCTTCAGACGTGGCTCTGATTTTGGATCTGGCAAAATATATTTATATGATATATAAAGTTGATCTATCAATAATTAATCAATTAACATTATATTTTTTATTTAAAAAGTATTTCCATCTTTCCATGAACAAGACAATTGCTGTTTTGAGCTCCATCCTGTCACCTGTGCATTGTTAGTATTGGACATCATTAGAGACTTCAGAGAGTCTATTGTTTTTTAATCAGACAGATCTTATCAGTAAGTTAATAACATCAACCGTAATCGGAGCTTGGTAATGCAATGAGCAAATATGGCAGTTCCCACGTGTATGTAACATACAGTATAACTTCAAAGTATACATAAGTAGCAGATTAGCTGATATAGATATATTGACCCATTACAGTGAATATATTTTTTAGAAATAATATAAAAATTATTTTTACAGGGATCTCGTGGGAATCCAGGAGAACAAGGACCCGAGGGACCAGAAGGACTGAAGGTAGGTTTTTTTTTAAATTAAATGTTAAAAACATTTTGGTTAAATGCATGAATAATACTATTGAGATATATAAAAATTGTAAACAGTTGGTTTTGGGTGACATGCAAGCTTTTAGATGTTTTCTTTCATGAGATTTTGGCAAACCAATGCAAGCAAAGTAGTCGCCAAATAAAAAAGCCAAATTTCCAAGACTACATAGAGATGGCTTTTAAATATATTATCTTTCAGTAAAATTTCCAGGTAGAGGCTTTCAGGAATAGAAAAGCTCTTTCTTTGGGCCTAGCAAAGTAGCTGAGTAAGAAAAACAAACTTGAATTAGCCAATAACCATAAGCTCATGTCTTTTTGCTTGAAGACATAATGTAGGTTCAAAGATTTTCCACTTGGTATGATATTTTATAAATTTATGTTTCTAATTTATTTTGTGTAAAGCTAATCTTTCTTTTAAAATTTAGAATATGGCATATTGTACAATTTATAGTAATTGATTGGCGTTTTATTATTATCTGCTAATATTGGACACAGGTTTGGTGCTTGGGTGCAGTAATGTTCCATGCTAACAGAGTTACTGGATAACATGAAAGTTCACTCAACATTATACAGACGTTTTAAAGCAATGAAGGCAATATAAACTCAAATAGATACACATTATGTGTGCTCCAGCACCTTTTTAATGAAAAAAATATATCTGCTTTCATTACGTTGGTTTTGGTTCATTTAGGAAATTATTGAAATTATTCTGATTTTTTAATTTCATTGCAAAGTCTGTATCTTCCCTAGAATCTTTGTTATGTAGAGAGCTCCCCATCTACTGTGGCCTATTGTATGGTGTATTGCAGCTATTAGAAGCTCATAAAGATTTGTCCTATCTCTGTGGTTGTGTTGTGGAAGAGGGCTTGTAATTTTTGGCATTTAAACACTTTAACTGGAACAATTACAATATGTCATAGGTTTAGGGTAGCTACCTGCACAGCACACCTCCGACTGACTCCTAATGATATAAAAATGGGATGGGAACAGATAACCAATTGTCTGGCGTCTGGTCCTTTTTAGACGGTCAGTCCGAATAGGTCTACCTATCAGTTTTTCAGGTGGCTCTGATCAGAAGCCAAATGTTAGTCTATGGGTAGCCAGATCTACAGGGATGAGTGTCCTTTTACATCAGATTACTCCCAACTCTGTCCAGGTTCGGAAAACAGAATATATCAGAGTTCCGTTTTGGCGGACCTGATCATGACGAATTGAGAGTAATCTGCTATAAATAGATACATGTCAACTTACAACTGACTCCTACCAAACCTAACATGGGTCTGATAAGTTCAGTTTTTTTCCTCCATCATAAGAAAAAGCTGAACGGTGACATCCATTCCATACTGCTTCAATCAGTAGGGAAACTATGCACTGATTCCCTGCTGATCAGAACTGACAGGTGCCTGTGAAAGGGGCCTTAGGCTGATTATTCATTTTATCAGCTATAGTAGTTTCAGAGGCTGAGACAGAATTGGTAATAGGTTAGTTTATGTTAACACTACAATGTAAAACTATGGAAATGCTTTTGCTTGTATCTGAGTTAATCGTTTAGCCTGTTTTTATAGTCTGCAATAACGGATTCTTAAACCGCTAACAAGTTTAGGACAAATACAGAACACCATACATAGTGGGAAACGCAGTACTTTAGTTCCTCACACGATATTGTCATTGAGCGAGAGGCAACTCATGAGCCATCAGTTGGTCATGTTTTTCGATACTTTTAATATTGGAGATATTGAATTGAGAAAATACTTGAAAAAATATAGATGTAAATTGTATCTTAAAATAAATAGTCTTTTACTGTTTGTGTATATTCCACATGATGACTTTGCTTAGTTATATTCACATATACTTACAGGAACAAAAGAGTAACACATTTATTCTATCTTCACAGGGGGATAAAGGCGGACCAGGATTTGTGGGGAGCCAAGGAGATAGAGGATATCTGGTAATGCTTTAATACATTTCCCATTGGTTTATTTACAATATAATGTATGCATAAAACAGAAATGGAGATGGTCTGCAAATTGTTACTCTGAACTTTAAATATGTAAAGTGTTCCATTTTATGTTAGCACTGAAACTGATGGTGATGCACAAACTTGAAAAATGCCTCTTCACATTTTTGTCATACTCCCAGTCCCCTACTGCCTGGGTATGTGGACTTCTAAAGTTTTGGGACAGTGGTTTCTGAAATACTGATGGGTAGAATGTGTTTAATGTAAATGAGATTGATGTAAAAGTTGTCCAGTTCTAGATTTTACCCTTTTAGGGGATATAGCTATATTTTTAAACAGGTTGAACACAGGCACCATCTGGTGACTGCTTATGGCCACAAGTTTTGAGATGATAGAAATTAATTTAGAAGTAGTTTTTTTTGTGCTATATTTTGGATAGATGTAGACATACTTTGCAGATTTGCTGATGCTTAATTTCCATGGAAAAACAATCATTATTAATCCCAGTGGCCTAATATGATAAGTTGCGTCGAATAAAGCCACAACTTATCATTATTAGAGCTTAAGGCTATTCTTATGCCCCTATTTGACACTACTGTGTGTCTATGCATGCCAAAGGCCATCATGTGTAAAGAAATTGAGATACTCACATGCTTTCCCATGACTGGAAGTATCAGGTCACTTCATTTGCATGGCTGAATAAAGCATTAAGAGACTGTTACCATATCAGTACTATCAAAGTATAAGCTTTGAATACATAGATATTTTTGTTTATTAATTAATGCTTGCCTATTTTTTACAGGGTTATCTAGGAATTACAGGAGATCCAGGAGAGACAGGAATAAAGGTCAGTTTTATGTTTAAATTAGTGCGCGATGGGGGGCATCGTATCACTCAAGCTGTAACCTAGTAATAAATCTGTCTCACAATTTATATGCTAAAACTGACACGTCTGAGAGTGCCAATTTTCTGCATGTATCGCAGCACATACTAGTTCTTCGATCCTGCCCCTGCACCACTACAGGGTAAAGGAGGTAAGTAGGGTGAACTGTAGGGGATGCAGCAAATCAACACTCCCAGTGTCAGTTTTGAAAGACATTTCTGAGGCGGATTTCTTCACAACAAAGTGGCAGTCAATGATGAGGGCAGCATGAGAGGTGAGTAGTCACTTAATTCCTTTACAGGGTAACCTTATTTCAGAAATTTTAGCAAACTGATGGAGTCACTTTAAGATAAGAAAAAGTATACAGATGAGGATTATTCTGCTAGTGTTTCAAAACCTGATGTCAAAGTCATTAGTACAAACTGTCAAAAAAAGTTCAAAGAAATAGAAGCTGTTTGGCAAATCTCTACCTAGGCATGGCAACTGGAGTCTTTATTTTGTCTCCATTTATCTACCTAAAATAACACCTCCTTAATTCTAGAGAATACACTTTCACTTCATTTGCCACTTATGTATATTGCTACAGGACATCTGTAAGGACCCAATATGACACATTAGAAAATGAGGACAGAGCTAAGTGCAAGTTGCAAAGATGGTGGGGGATTCACAGTATGCTGAGTTTGCACTTGAAATGTCAGAACATTTGGACAAGAAAATATAAGGGTATTATAATAACCTTTTTAACTATAACTAAAGAACACTAACACAGCAGAAGCCTAAACAAATTTAATGATATCAGAACAGAGGACTACAGTTTCACAGTTTTCTAAAATTACTATTTATTCAAAAATGCCAACCACTTGGGTGTAGCTCAGAGCTTTAGGTAAAATACACCCATTTAGGTTAATAATTACCTTTTGAGTTCAGTTATATTTATACTGCAAGAAGTATCCACTTTGATTTGTTATGATGAAAGTAAAGTAATCATGGAAATATCCTGTGCTAACTGTATTTTTGACCTAAAAGTTCTTTCCCATACACATAGGAATTAGATTTTGAAGACTGGATTGTTCCTAGAGAAGCAATCTGGTTTTCACACCCAGCCATACTGTGCCAGAAAAAATATCTACTAACATAATCAGCCTGTTAGTTACCAGGTACGCAGATGTTTATTTTAACCTTCTAAAAGCTGTGGAAAGTGCACATAAATAATGTTGTGTCTAAGTGCTGTGAGGGGTGTATTGCTTTGTTTCCCAATAACAAGTTTAATAATGTTGTAGTTTTTTTGTTACCACTAGATAATAATTAGTTGAGTTATGAGAGCCCCCAAACAGGAAGATGAGGCCCTAAAGCAGTGGTTCTCAACTCATGGGTCGCGACCCAAAAGTGGGTCGCGAGCCCTTCTGCAGTGGGTCGCGGCGCCATCATGGCAATCACGGGTCGCCATCAAAAACAATGGAACATTTTCCATCAGGGCATCTTGGACAGTGTTTAAAATGGATTGAATGGAAAGAAATAGGGGCTGCTGTTTTTGTTGCAGTAAGGGGTTGAAATAGGTGGGGTATTGGGTAGCGGAGGATGGGGGGGGCACATAGGATCATGTCTGGAATCACAACACCATGATAAGGTTTTATAGTGTCCTCAAAGTGAGAGTAGTGATAGGTCCAGACTCATGTGACAATTGTATTCTAGTCAACGGGACCATATTTTGATAAACATGCTATGGGTGTCATTAAGGATAGCTGTAATTTTTTCATTTACCACAGTGCCCATCATTCTTTGCTTCACATCCATAAATCTCCGTGTTGGTTGCTTCTATGCTTTAACTAACATTTGCCTGGGGGCCAGAAAGACAAAGGTAACATGTTTTCTTTAAAATTGGGGAGGAGTGGCCTAAGTAGTAAGGCTAAGTTTAAGTTGTACACTCATATCCAAAGGGTTTGAGCCTGAGGACGTTGCCACTAAATGTGTAAAAATGTGCCATGTTCATGATACTTTCAAAAGCAAGTCGGTGAGGCATCAGGGGCAAATTTGATCTGGCCTGTGGTCATGTACCAACAATACTTTGTGTAAAGTTTCCTGAACTAGAACATTAGTTAAGCACTTTACTGTTGTGGTCCAGATTTTGCCCCATTCTGGTGCTTATAAGGTTTCTCCAATTTTTGAAAAGTAGAGTTGAAGATCAGTCTGTGATTGGGGGCACCCAAATCAAATATAGAGGGAAATTGGTGAGCAATCCATGATGTCAAGTAGGTCCATAAGGGTAGTTCAAGAGCTGGGTGGAGGGACATTAAGGGAGCTTTGTGGCCTGCCATGTAGTATTTTCCCAAGTTGGGTAGAGTAATTTAAAGGTTGGGTACAGTGATTTTAGGAAAGGAGATATTTAGTAGAATAACATGATCTTATGGTGCACATCTGCAATTTCTAGGCCTTGGATCGCTGAATTCGCTCAAGTAAGGCGCACTAGTGCCAGGAAAAATACTATTGGGGATAGGAGACAGTCCTGCACAGTGCCCCATTGTTTTGGGAATGGCTCAAAGTTGGATCCTGTCTATTTTATCGAGTCTGACAGTTGTAGCATAGAGAGATTTGATTCAGGCCACAAAGTCATTACCAAAGTCCCACTTGCGAAGGGCTAAGACCATATATTGCCATGAAATCATGCCAAAGGCTTTGTGCACACAGAGGGCCAGAAACATGGTTTCAAGGGATCTAGTGCAGCCAGAATGTATAAGTCATATCACTTGCTTGATGACCAAAGGGATTTCATCTTCCAGGATGTCAGAGATGAGTGAGGAAAGATGTTCTTTCGGGATGGTGGGCAGCAGTACAGTAGTATATTGCAAACATTTCCTCTGCTTTCTCTAAAGAAAGAGGGCTAGGGGTGGTGTATAATTGTAATAGTTGATGTATGAATTTGATTAAAACCTGAATGGGGTTGCTGGTGAATGTGTGTTGCCTAGTTCTAACGGAAATGGGTCGCATTGTCTGTTCAATGCATTGCAAGCGTTTGTCCAGCATGGTACCGGGTTTATCGATTTGTGCAAACCATGTTTGTTTCTTCCAGTGAAGCTGATTTTCTGTAGATTTAATTGTGTTCTAATTTTTTTTGGGGGGGGAAGGACTAGATTTGTTGGTTTAGGTTACTATGACTAGTTCAGATTCCAACTATAGTCTGTATTTTTCTCTCAGTTCACAACATTGAGAAGCCATTTAAATCAAGTGGCCCCATAAAACTGTTAAAAACAAGTATGCGTTCCACACTGTTTTCCATAGTTATCATCTTAAATCTATCAAGAATCTCCAGATATGAATGTAAGTAATTTAAGGTCCATGAAGATATTTAGGGTCTGTGTAAAACTGAGCAACAGTAGAGTCAAGATCTGACCAAGGTGCTGACAGGGGCTTTAATAAGTTCAGGAAGAAGGACGCAATGGGCCCAGATATGGTCAATGCGAGTGTAAAGGTCAAGAGGGGCCTAGTATTATGTGTAATTGCATACAAGGGGGTTAAGTTATCTCCAAATGTTGACCAGGCCTGATTTTAAAAAAGTATTTAAAGTATTTGTAGCCTGGACCATTTGTGGTACTGAAGTGGGATGACATGTCAATTTTCGGATTTGTGACTAGGTTACAGTCTCCGCATGGGAGATTAGAAACTTTGTTGTGTCAGAGAGTAATTCGGGTAACTAGGATAAAGGGAGTTGAATGGTGTTTAGGGTGTAGTAATGGTAATCTCAGAGTTTGTTTGGTAGACATGGAGGCTAAAAAGTTTAGGGACTAGTGGGATGGAAAAAGTGTGTCTCCCAGAGGCAGGCAATGTTTATTTTTTTGGAGAACGTAGATAGTTAAAGACCGTGCATCAATTAGAGGGAGAATTGAGCCCTTGGACAGTCACATTTAACAGTTTAAAAACCAACTCTAAGCAACACGTTAAAAGTGTGCTGGTCCTTGTGAGCCAGTTGGGACCCATAAAGAAAGGGTGGTGGGTGACCACTGAAGCATAGGAGGGGGCCTGAACTTTAGGGTCTACTGCTGGGAAAGGCAGTACCTGTGGGTATTGATCTAGCAGTGTGGGCCGAGCAGGCCGCAAACATTTACAATAGGCATCAACCTGGTACAGCAATACTAGGGACTCCTATATGCTCAGGGAGTATAAGGAGGAAAAGTGGTTCGGGTTCACATTAGCTCCCTCATTGTTATGGTGAAGCTGTGCCAGGATGCTCACAGTTGAGCTAAGGCAATGGAGGTCAAAGCCTCCAAATTAGAAGCACAGCCCCTATATGTCAAAGAGACCAGGCACAAATTAGACTTTTAAAATCAATTAGTACATGATAGCCCATTCCAGAGGGAAACTGTGAAAAGTCCTAATAGCAGGATAGGAAAGTTCCTATAAAGTGAGAGTCAATACAGTGGGCTTGCGGACTCCACGGCTTGCTTATGTGCAGGGTGCAAGTTAAAGGATAGAAAAACAATTTCACATAGACTGGGGCTTTATAAGTGCTCACACACTATGTGTGTAAAATTCTAAAAACGCTGATTTATTTTCTTTCACATTAAAAAGGGTACATACACATAGTTAAACTGTACCATGCCCCATCTTGTACAATATCTCAAATAGCCACAATTGCAAATAATTTGTATACAAAAGTCACGTAAAGGTACGAATATAGCTTAACTTCAATCATAATAAATTCAATAAGCTTGTAGTGGCATGTTTATAATTCCGACGCATTTCGCTTCATCAAAGGACGGGAGGCATGTCATTGGCACCTTTGTTATATGGTTGCGTTTTTGCAGTTTAAAATATCCATATGTATATTGATTCAGTGATCCACAAAGTATGAATATCCCAATGTATGGTTTGCTATGGAAAAATACATTGGAATGGTATCCATAATGATCATATATTGGTCCCATATTGACATTGGTACTGTGCTAATATTTTTTAATCTCCAACCCAATATTTAACCATATGTCATTTTTATACTGAAGTTTTACAATTGGACTTTTTTTTCTGCAACACGTCATTTAGTCATTTTCTTATTTTTGGTTCAAGCTTTCTGTTATGTATTCTGTTTGTGATATGTGATAGAGTTTATTTGTCCTATTTGGTTCTGAAATGAGGATCCTTCTGTTCATTGTGGTAGAGTACCTAGCCAAGATCCAGTATCCAGTCTGAACGTTTGATCCAACAGACATCATCTTACAATATTATTACAGTTATTAATCATTACATAGAACTGCTAGAACATGATAAAGAAACCTTGGCACTACAGTCTCACTATTGTACACCACTCCAGTCTTTTTTGGGACTTATTTGCAGCTCTTATAACAGGTCTGGTACCAATTCCACCTTTTATTTACACCATTAAAAATGAAGTTACATGTGCTCGTATACATACCGTATGTTATAAATGTATTGAGATTACCGATTTTGCATGCAATCAACCAATAAAACATCCATTGTTAAAGATATTTTTATTTTTTCCAGGGTATAACAGGATTGTCTGGTGATCCCGGTGATGGAGGTCGTCATGGAAAAGATGTGAGTTAATTGAAAGTATGTTTTGCTCAATTCAGTTTGCTGTTCTTTGCGTTCACAGTCTAACTCTACCAAATGTGATCCTCCAGGGTACTCTTGGTGTACGTGGCAAGGAAGGATACCATGGATCTATTGGATCAAAGGTATGCAGAAAACATACAGAGAACATCACCTCCAGTTATATGTTTTTCTACAGTTTTAGTTTTTCACATTATTATTAAACCAGACAAAAAAGAAATGTGAACCATGAGAAATTTCTGCATTTCTGCATTTCCTAAAATGTGATATGATCTTCATCTAAAAACATATTACTATAGTCTTGTTTGTAGCTATGGCTTTATGCTTGGTGCTCAGTTTAATCGTGTAAGCAAAACAGACCACTGAGCTGATGAAGGCTGAAGGTCAGCCATCTTTCCTTTTACAGCCTCTAAACCTCACTGAATTTTTCTACACATTTCCTAATGGAATTCTGGAACTCTTCTCCTCAGGACACATCTCTCCTCCTATTTCCGGCTTTTCAGCAAAAGAATCAGGGCATCTCCTCTCCTCAGAATTTCCCCTCATTGAAGGAGCTCCTCCTTTACTTTGCTATGTCAGATAAAGTGGAAGAATATAGCTGAGTTACTTATAACTATCCAGACCTGTCACTCCACCTTCATGTACAAAATACATGATATAAATGATCACTTTGCCATTTGTAAACACAGTTAACAGTGTGCAATGGGTTGTAATAGGGAGGTTGAGAAGCAAAAGCTGTTTTTCTATATTTTAATGGGCCAACCATTTGTATCTTGCTATGTTTGCTGGAGTTCTGCTTTTGGTTGCATATCCACCCAAATCTTTTCAGTAAGATACACTATATTACCAAAAGTATTGGGACACCCCTCCAAATCATTGGATTCAGGTGTTTTATGAAATTTCCTTGCTACTAAATATTCCACGGTCAACTGTTAGTGGTATTATAACAAAGTGGAAGCAACTGGGAACAACAGCAACTCAGCCACAAAGTGGTAGGCCACATAAAATGACAGAGCGGGGTCAGCGCATGCGGAAGTGCACAGAAGTCGCCAACTGTCTGCAAAGTCAATAGCTTCAGACCTCCAAACTTCATGTGTCCTTCAGATTGGCACAACAACAGTGCGTAGAGAGCTTCATGGAATGGGTTTCCATCGCCGAGCAGCTGCATCCAAGCCTTACATCACCAAGTGCAAAGCAAAGCGTCGGAAGCAGTGGTGTAAAGCATGCTGCCACTGGACTCTAGAGAAGTGGAGATGTGTTCTCTGGAGTGACAAATCATGCTTCTCTGTCTGGCAATCCGATGGACGTGTCTGGTTTTGGTGGTTGCCAGGAGAACGGAACTTGCCTGACATTGTGCCAAGTGTAAAGTTTGATGGAGGGGAAATTATGGTGTGGGTTTTTTTTCAGGGGTTGGTCTTGGCCCCTTAGTTCCAGTGAAGGGAACTCTTAAGGCATCAGCATACCAAGGCATTTTGGACAATTTCATGCTCCCAACTTTCTGGGAACAGTTTGGGGATGGCCCCTTCCTGTTCCAACATGACTACGCACCAGTGCACAAAGCAAGGTCCATAAAGGCATGGATGAGCGAGTTTGGGGTGGAGGAACTTAGCTGGTCTGCACAGAGTCCTGACCTCAACCCAATAGAACGCCTTTGAGATGAATTAGAGCGGAGACTGCGAGCCAGGTCTTCTCGTCCAACAACAGTACCTGACCTCACAAATGTGCTTCAGGAAGAATGGTCAAACATTCCCATAGACACACTCCTAAAACTTGTGGACAGCCTTCCCAGAAGAGTTGAAGCTGTTATAGCTGAAAAAGGTGGGCCAACACAATATTGAACCCTACGGACTAAGACTGGGATGCCATTAAAGTTCATGTGCATGTAAAGGCAGGCGTCCCAATACTTTTGGCAATATAGTGTATGTTAACACCACCCCAAGAAGCAAATTTGCTGCAAAGTATTGCAGTACTCAGTGATGTTCCCCACCAGACTACTTATTTAGGTGAATACCCTTCACCAAGCCTCAGCATGTGTTTCACCTGAGTGATTCATAACTGGGGACACAGTAAACATACTATGTCCTTAATCCTGCTTGTCACCGCTCTCCATCCTGACTCCTTTGGCTGTCACAGAGCAGGCGATGCAGGGAGGAGAGCTCAGCCTCCTGTGACAGCTGACAGCACTCATGTCCCCACCTCGCTCGTCCTCTTGAACATTTCTCTCCTCCCCACTGGACACTGCTCTGTGTTAGAGGAAACACAGAGCGACACCCAGCGAGGAGGAGAGAAACTATGGATGTACCGCAATTTCGGATAAAAAATTATACCTTCTTCATTTTGTCCGAAGTGCAATTTTCGGCCGTTATGTTTCAGCTGACGAAATTTCGGTGCATCCCTAATGGCTACAATACTTGCCACTGTGAGATCCACTTTATATGAGCAGTCTCTATTTACTTTACTGACATTCAGTATGTGAAAATGTGATCACATTTTGGGAAACATTCATACAGGAATCAGAATATTCCCGAATTTTTTAAAATAATTTTTCATTATAACTGTTTGAATACTTTCTGTACACCCGACTATAAAATGTTAGAGAATATGACGGCAATACATGTGATAAGCATTTAGAACAGATTACTTTTGACTTCAAACTCACAAGAACAAACCTACCCTAAAATTTACTCTAATAAACATGTATTATTATTCTCATAACAGGGAGACAAAGGAGACCGAGGACAACCAGGTCCACCTGGCACTGAAGGAACACTGGTATCCCTTAATCATTTTCTTAGTTCTGTACTTTATACTGTATGCATTGTATGTCCTACCTGCAAGTGTTATGTGTCCAATTTTCCTTGGCACAACATTGCCCTTTATGCAGCAATATTTTTTTCAGCAGTTTTAGAAAATGAATTACTCTCATATGATCGCGATATCTAGGCCTCATTCACACTGCTGTACAATACGCTGCATATATGCAACTTTGGTCTTGCATTGTGTGTGCATGAGGCCTTAGAAGGCTGTGGAAAGTCAGTAGTAAGTTTACGTAGCTTCATGTGTATGTTCGGCTAAACATGTGGAAAAGATTACAGTAGCATCCAAAGTAATCCTTGAGTAAATGCAGTATTGCTCTGCTCTCTGTTAGCCAGTATTTACACATGCCAGTTTTTTTGGAAGGGCTATATGGTTTTCCTATGTGATTCGGGCTGGCAGTCAAGACTGTTGGCATTAGGGACTGCCATGGGCAAAAGACAGAACAGTTACAGTTTTATGCAGACCCTTGGCAGATAGGTAATCTATCTTGGATAGGTGCATGATATTGTAGTCACAATTATACTTGTAATAAATATTTTAAAATATATTCTAAGAAAACATAATATGCATTCATTAGTTGTGTGTTACTTTTATGCATAATCATAGTCTGCCTGTCCACATCAGTTGTACTCCAAGCTACCTCTATCAGGTATATTGTATAATTTAAAAAACATATTGTGCCCAGCATAGTAACCCATAACAATAAATCATAATTAACAATATAACTTTAGTAAACTGGTGCTCAGAGGCAGGGTTGTTTAGTTAGCAAGTGTTGCTTAAGTCATTTCCATTCCTCACCTAACAAACCATGTATGGACAACCGTAGTTACATTTATATTAATCATTATAATTTATATATTATATATATTACAATTATTTATATTGAAAAGGTCTAGCGAGCAGAGCAAAGTCATTAATAACAATCAATAGCACGCTGCTTCAATGAATTACATTTTTATTTATTTGTAATATATAATTATAGGGTCCTAAGGGTGCAAAGGGCGATGCAGGAATCCCTGGCAAAGCTGGTCCACAGGGTATTCAAGGTCCAAAGGCAAGTGTATTCTTTTAATAAGGCTAAAGCTTTCACTGATTAGACTTTGAGAACAAGGGGTTATTGACACTGGGGTATTAAAAAGTTAGGCCTTGTATTTGTATTTAACATTTTTTCTCTGTATACAGGGCTCAAAGGGAGACATTGGAGATGATGGTGTACAGGTAACATACGTGAAGCCCTTCAGTTTTTTTATGTGGCTGTTGACTGCAATAACATTGTATTTGCTTTCTCTAGAACAGCGTTTCTTAACCTTCTTTAAGTCATGGCACCTTTTCAAGTGTATGCAAAAAAGTCAATGTAAAAGAACTATATGTGGTCCATCCTCCCCCAAGTCAAAACCAAACCCTTATCCTAGACTGGTGTCTGGTATGAAATTTAAAGGAGGACCCCAGGCAGAAAAAGATGATGTGGCATTTTCCCCTTTACGTCAGAACTCCCCCTTTCACATCAAAAGCCCCCTTCACATCAAAGTCCCCCCTTTAGCAAAAATCTGTAGGCACCCCTGACAAAGCCAGAAGGCACCCCAGGGTGCCACGGCACAATGGTTGAGAAAGGCTGCTCTAGACAGAGATGGCAACTCTTCTCAGTGTGATGCAAATTTACCAATACATGTACAGTATTTACTATCTATCTATCTATCTATCTATCGATCTATCTATCTATCTATCTATCTATCTCTATCTATCTATCTATCTATCTATCTCTCTATCTCTCTATCTCTCTATCTCTCTATCTCTCTTTGTGGTTGCCACTTTTCTCACATTTCTCAAAATTACTCTAACAGACTCACTTAAACTTAACTCCTCCTATTTTTTTGTAATGGAGAAAGTGAGGGAGGGTAGATCCTATGTCAGGCTTTCATTGTCTGAGATATTGATGAACAAATGTCACCATATTTCTCAGTGTCAAATAGCTTGAGTTTGAGACGTGTATGGCCAACTTAAAGAAGAACTTTACCCATATCTTTAAAATGACAACAAAGGGACCTTTAGAAATGTTCAGTAATGACAATCTACAAACAGGTACATATAGATAATTGTCGGCTTTTTATTCTTTTTTTTTCACACCTTATTTTTCTTTTCTTCCCCATTCTTCTCATGGTGGCCCTTTTTACTAAGAGCAGATTAATCCATCTCCCTTTACTTCCTGGAACTCTGGCACATGTGACTAGGACAGGTGACGATGCACATCATCTCAAGGGAAAAAAATGCTTTCCCTGAGATCTCGCAAGGTTATGAAGTTTACAAATGAGATTTCCTGGCAATGCACTGCTGATATAACTTTCCCCACATGATCACTTAGGCACAGATTACATCAGTAATGCCTAAGAGGACCAGAAAGTGGAAAAACAGTAATTGTAAGTAAAAGAAAAACATGTTTATTTAACTAATCAATGAAAGATGATTTCATATCAGCATGCAGAGCTCAATGCTGATGTGATTTTTAGTGAAAGGTGGTAAAGGTCCACTTTAAGTGCTCTGGGTCGCTTGCTGTAACTGTTACCATCATCTCAAGTATGACAAACATACACATCTTTATTATTTGTGTCTTGTACATCCATGCTCACACCTCCACTGGTAACTGTATTCTTCCCTCACAATTCTATAGATGTAAGGCAGATCAATAATAACTTATAGAAACTGCCATTGCAAAAACAGTACTTGAACTCTGTATTCTCTATGTACTTTACAATGCATATTTACGTTTGCTTAAACAATTGCCATAATGCATAATACACTATTGGAACTTCTATTTGAGTTGATCTACTTTTAAATTAATATATTTTTTCATCTGTTTTCTTTTGTCAATGATGATTGAGATATATATATATATATATGTGTATGTGTAATACCTTATATAGCTTATATAGCTTAGTGTAAAAATGAAACAAAAAAAAAAGCAATGCAAAGCTTGGCAAGGTACTATGCCAACACAAGTAAATTCACATGCGTTGAGCCACGTCCAACACACACATTTTATTGTGAATGCACCCTTAAGACTCCCGTGCAGCCTTGAATCAAACAAATTCCTGCACATGTCCACACGTCCTCTTCACAATTTTATTGGAAACAAGGTAAACAGTTCAGTGAAAACCTGACACCTATGTTGACACGTTTCAGCCTAAGATGGCTTTAATCATAGCTAATTGACAACTGAACAATCATCATGGAATGGTTGGGGTAAATTAGTAATCAACTAACAAACAACTGTGACAATTAAAAACACCAAACACGTTATTTAACCATATCATGCACAGTAGCACAAAAGCAGATGACTAAACCTGATGCCAAACCTGTTTAAAAGACTTTATAGGAAAAAGGGCAAATATGTCACCTGTACGCCTGGGCAGGATGGAAAATATGTACACATCACAAGACTCACTGTACAAATAATACAAATCATTTGGTAGGTAAAACAGTATAGATATACTACTCTATGTAGTTAAATGTCTGCTTGGAATTTTGCTTTAACCCTTAAGATGTAATTTCATGGTGCATTCACACCGAAATGTGTGCATTTGACGCGCATTCATTTGTGTTGACATAGTATGTTGATATACATTTTTTGAGGGGGGGTTGATTTTTTTCACTAAGCTATATACTGTAAGGTATTGGTATTTTGCCTTGCAATTATGTCCACTCTGTTGCATTTTTTCAATAGAGGGCAGTGCACATCGATGCAACAATGCAACGCAGTGGTATGAAATGATCCCGTTCACACCCATTCATTTTCAGATGTCCCTGCGTTGGCATCCATTGAAAAACAGATGCGTCTGCTGTGAATGGGGACTTAAAGTGTAATTGAAATGCCTATCAGTTGGCCAGGATTCAGGATTATTGTGTCTAATAATACATTTTCAAACATGGGAATAACCCATTAAACTAAAATCAAAATCGCATGCAAGATTTTGAAATTCATGAACTCATGAACTCATACAACCATTAAATTGAAGGACTGAAGTTATTATGCTTGTTTATTGCATGTCCCTTAGGTTATTAGCTTTCTGCCATTCTAGTATAGACATTTTGTAGAAATGTGTTTAGTACTATCAGAGCTCTAAAGGAATTTATGGGAAGACATAAAAGAGAAAGGGAAGACATAGCATACATCATAGGCAAAATAATCCTGTTACTGTGTAGGCAGAAAAATCTGTTATCCATTATTTCTGTGATAAACTTTCCTTCACCAAGAATAAGAAAAGAGCTGATAGAATATCTATATACAGTGGTGGCAAAAATTGTGGACACATTTTGAAATTGTAATGTTTCGCAACTTTGCAAACTCATAGGGCATGTTGTTTTGCACCAAATGCAAATTTTTATGTCAGTTGAAAGAAAATTTCATGCTGAATTCAATACAAAAAACAGAATGCTTACTTTAGTCTAAAAAAGAAACACAAGTGTGATTCAGTTAAGAAGCGGATGTTAAGTGGAAACCCTACTGGTCAATTGCATTCCTTGTTCTGGGGACCAATCAAATGGCAGAAACTGCAATACATCTTGTGAGAAGTTAAGGAAAGTCAGTTTTGCTGTTTGTTCTGTAGAAGAAAGACTGTTAGTGGTGTAAGTGAAGCGTAATTGTAGATTGTGCGGATATTGTTAGTATTTCTTTCAATTTAACGTGTAGATAATAAGTACAGCAATGTCATCAAAGAAAAGAGTTGATTGGTCACTCACAGTTGATTGGTTTTATTATGTGAATTAGGTCTTTCTTATGCTGAAATTGCAAGGCAAGTAGGTGGGTCAGTGACAACATCTGCTATACGAAAGTGCTGTTTACGTTTTCAGGAAACAAAGTCAGTGTAAAACAAACCAAGAAAGAGACGAAAAATTTGCACAAAAGCAACTGATGACAGAAGAATTAAAGACTGTGTCTGAAGGACAGAAAAATGTCATCTAAGGCTGTCGGAGCTTTTTTAAAGCGTGCGTTTCCCCCTCCCAAACAATACCAGACCCATTAGGTCTGGTAGGAATGTTAGGAGGGAGCCCATTTATAAAAAAAAGCGTGGGCTTCCCCCCAAAAGTAATACCGGACCCTAAAGTCTGGTAGGAATATTTAGGAGGGACCCCATGTAAAAAAAGAAAAAAAAAGTGTGTGGTGTTCCCCCTCAAAGTCCTACCAGGCCCTTAAGGAGGAACCCCACCCCCAAAAATGGGGGGGGGGGGAAATGTGGGGTCCCCACTGAAAATCCCAACCAGACTCTTGATCCGAGCATAGGCCTCCCTCCCATACCAGGCCACATGCCATCGGTACTGGGAGGATGCTTTTCCAGGGTCATCCCTGGAAAAGCACCTTGTCCCTGTGCCGATGGGGACAAGAACCTCTTCCCCACAACCCAGATGCGCCCCCCCCTTGTGAATGAGTAAGGGGTATTTGTACCCCTTCTCATTCACTAAGGGGTTAAATAAACGTTTTACCAAGGAGGCCAAACTTTTGAAAAAATCCTCTATTTGAAAAAAAAAACATGTTTTTGATAAGTCTGGATCCACCAACATAATCCAGCGTCAATCATGACGTCCAGCGTTGTCAATGCCGACGATGACTACTCGACGAAATAAAAAATAAATATAATTTTTTTTAAAAACAGACGACCGCCGCCCCGTTTACTCGCGACGAACACCTGCCGCAGAATGGCATTTTGACAGATGCCGGGAACATATAAACATTTGTGCGGAGCTAGCAATGACAGCTAGCTACGCCCAACTGTTTACAGCTGTAACAGGTGAGCCATGATTGGGCAGAGAGCGCTCTCATGGATCTCACAATTCTCGGTGCCCTGATTGGGCAAAATCTTGCACCTGACCAGTAGTCAGGTGCAAGGCTTTACCTAATCAGGATTCACAAGGCACAAAGCCATGTGTGGGGTGCTCGGCGGGCAAACAGCCCGTCGAACACCCTGACAGCTCGTGTGTTCGCTGAACACACGAACTGACGTTTTTCGAGTCAAACTCACTTTCACTTCAGTCCCTATCCCCACAGATTTAAAAAAATGTTAGGCATACACTGGTTAGGTCTATTATCCCTAATAAAAACTGTCTGGCTGCTGGCCAATTTTACACTGCCGTATACTCAGCAGTGTCCTAATTCTTGTAGTAAAGCCCCAGCCTGTTTGCCTCTAGTACATTTGGGCATAGCTGTTTAAAATTGTCTTGATCCTGGTCAATTTTACACTGCTGTGTCATCTGTGGTCTCTTGATTCTTGTAGTAAAACATCTGCCTGGACTCTTTCTCTCTAGTACATTTTACCAATTATCCCTCATTACAAATGTCCTGTTGCTTGCTAGTTTAACATTGCTTTATCATGTGTGGTCTTTTAATCCTTAATGAGAGTTTGATAGAAATTGGCCAGACTTTGGACAGTTTTGTATCGGAAAGAACAGGGACAGTCTCAGTGAACTGCTGGCTAATTTCTATCTGCTAATCAAAGCAGGCCTAAATAAATTAGATTGGTGTGCTGCTGCTGACTTTGAACCAAGCTAATTGTAAAAGAAACAAATAATCTCCACAGCAAAATATGTGCTGCTGGTGTACGCTGCTGAGACTGTCGGTAAAAATCCCACTGTTCTGTAACACCACATACAGCTTTAGGGATCCCCCAAGCATGTTATTTAAATACTTTTTGTATGTGCAATGTAGCCCTTGAAGCAGCATTTAAAGACCCTCTTCCTGCTGTATGTTATTATGTTATTGTTTTTTTTTTGCATTGGTACATGTCCTCCATGGCAGTGAACAGTTCTCCATGCCTTTTTTTGACAGTAGTTTGCCTTTTCGTCCTATAAAAACTGCTACTAATTTAAAAACAGGATTCACCTCAATAGACTTCAATGGGATTCACCCCTAAGTTTGGGTTTACAGAATTTGCCAAAACTTTGGCAAATCGAGCTTGGACAGATTTGCCCATCCCTAACCTATACAAGATGAGCTGTAGAAAAAGGAAAGTTTTTTTTTTTTTTTTTTTAACAAGTGATTAATTTATGGATTATATTTATAAATGTTTTCACTCAACTTTCACCCATGTTTCACACATTCCAGTTGAATCTAATTAGAAAAATGTGTGGATTTTGGGTAAAGGTTGTGTGAACACATTAATAAATAGACCTATATGTGTCTAATGTGTTTGAGGGGATGCAAACCCAACGCTACAAAAGAGTACTGAAGCCCCATTAAGTTTATATAGAGATATATTATACCAATGGCTTTTGTTTTGCTAATGTAATGCTTATATTTCAGGGAGAAAAAGGCAAACAAGGTGCAAAAGGAAAAACAGGAGCCAAGGTAATTATGATTATTGTTTGTGATGTATACTGCAGTTACTATAGTTTTTATTTTTTAACAGACCTAATGGGCAAATTTAAAACACTGTGACTATATCTATATATATATATAATGTGTGTGTGTTTTCCCCCCCAGAAATTTGTATTTATATTTACAAGCCTTATCAGAAATACTTGTTTCATGAAAAAACAAATAGTTCTTATATGTTAATTCCAGTAAAATGAAATATTTTAAATAATATATTGATATATATACACATGTGTTTTACTTACCAGAAGCTCTAGGGCTACAATCAATCAACTGGACTTTGTCTGCCTTGTTCCTGTCACAGCATTCACTACTCTACATTTAACAATATGCATGAGCTGTTCACTGCTCCTGAATTCTGTTCTTTGCTCCATACAACATTTTAGGCCCCGGTGCTGAAAAGTAAAAATGTTTTTGCTAAAAATGATAAATGTCTTTGCTAATTTTTATTAGAAATTTGATAAGCTACATGTTACCTTCCAATAGGATAACAGGGAATTCACAATCACAAATAATTTTTAAAAAACATTTAACAAATCAGCCTGTATTTTTGGCACTCTGGATCTTATGTCTTCTTTTTATTACTATAGGGAGATGCAGGTGACACTGGAGACAAAGGTCAAGTAAGTATAACACAATTATTTAAAACATACATTATATAAACAAGATCTGTGCTACTAGAAATGCTGCTATTCTCCTTATGAAAACACTAGTTATCTGGCTTTTCAAAGACCTGGAACAAACAAGCTCCTATGTAAATGCTTTTTCAGGTCGAATAGTATATAATGTATGTAGTCATTCACACTGTGATATACCGTAGGGGTTGATTTACCAAAGGTAAATAGGCTGGTCACTTTGCAAGGGAATTTTTTTCAAGAATAATTGTTTTTTTTTACCCATAGCTTAGTGAATGACTTAAAGCTCTTGTCGCTTCCATCATCCAACCCTATACAAGCCAAAATATTTTTTTTACATTTTCCTTGCACATGATTCGCTATTCTTTGCCAGGTACATTTTCACCACATTCACTAAGATAAGTGAAAACTCCCTTGCAAAGTGAACAGCCTTTTTTAACTTCAGTAAATCAACCCCACAGCATTTATATTATTAGTTAACCTTCTTCTTTGTATATGGTCAGCTTAGAGTTCTGCACCTTGTGGAGCCTTCAGTAATTTTCCTTTATGATATGTAATAGATCGTATTATAGAAAATTATTCTTAAAAGTGATTGTGTAATATACTTTGTACATTGCGCTCAGCCAAACTAAACAAAGACACTAGTCTATAATGGGCTAAATTGCACTGATAACAGTCCTTCCAACTCCTCTGTAGTATTCATTAGACATATGAAAAAAAAATTATATATGTAGCAGGTGCGGGTATGTACCTTGTGATAGATATACTGTATCTTGTGTTTTCAGATAGTTGAGCTCTTACCTAGATACATATTTCTGTAACTATATGATTTTATAGCTATTACATGTTTGTTTACCATAGCAAGGAAAGCGGGGACGCCCTGGACCACTAGGTTCTATGGGAAGAACAGGTGCTCCTGGTTCACCGGGACCTCGAGGCATTCCAGGTCCAATTGGAGATCGTGGGGAAAAAGGTCCTCTTGGGCCTCCTGGACCACTTGGACCCGTCGTAAGCAAATATTTATTTTTCATTTCGTTATGATTACTAGTGTAATTAGGAGAAGCTCTGGGAACAGATGATCCCAGTAGTAAATATTGGCAATATTTTAACCCATTCATGACTGAGCTAGTTTTCAGGTTCTGTTCATAAATGACTGACACATTTTTTACATTTTTGCTGTGTGATTCTTCCACAGAAGTACTATACTTTCTTACTAAATGTACCCACACATATTATATATAGTTTTTTAGAGGACAGATAGGGCTATATAATTATATCACATATGTGTACCTAACCCCTCACTTAGTTTGAAAAAAATGAGGAAAAAAACTAGAAGAAAACACTTTTTTCACAAGTTTTGATTATTATTATTTTTTTTTAGAATTTTTTATATTAATTATAGTATAAAAAATATATTTATATATAATTTATATTTTCCTAATTTTGTTTTACACTTTATTTTAATTTTTTTACACTTTGT